GGGGGAGGCGCGTCCCAGACGCAGGAGCCACATTCAGACACTCCTGTTCAGCCATCTCCCTGGCGGTGAGGCGTCCACGAACATCATCCGGTAACTTTAATTCCGTTCTAACATGTACACAGTGAACCGTGATGCAGCTTAAGTCCGCTTCCACGGCTGCCGCTGCTCCACCTCCTCCACGAACAAGTAAACGCTTCCCTAAGAAAAGAATTTTTGGCAATTTTTATTATGTTCCGCAGACGGGTGGCGCTGTGACAGCTCACTTCATGTTAAACGCCATCAGGGGTCTCTCTTCCCGCTTCTGCCAGGGGCTCTTCTTGTCCTCTCCTTGGTCCTCCTCGTCTTCCTCTTCGTCGTCCTCCTGGGCCGATCTCCTCTGCTCCGGGCTGGCTAGCGGCTCCGGGGGGACGTCCGAAGTTCGTTTTGTCGTCTCCTCCTGCAGGCTGGGCAGCTGGCCGCCGCTTCTCCGGCCGGAGCCATCCAACAAGCAGCGCAGGGCACTGTCCTCGGGGGTACAGACGGTGGTGCCGCACTCGCTGCCGCTTTGGTCCATGTCGTCCAGGTACACGAGCTGCGTGTAGGAGGTGCTGTCCGCGGCCCGCGGCTCTTTCTGCGGATGCTCCTGGACGGCCGGGTGGTTCTGTGCGAGGGACAAGGGGTCTCCTCTTCCCTTCCGGGCAGATTTTGGTTCATTCATATCCACGCCAGAATCCAAACTGGCATCATTGCTTCCGTTCCTTCCGGCTCTTTGGAGATCAATGTAGGAATGTCTAACGTGCGCATTGGACCTGCCGTCCAGGGAGACGAACCACGCCCGGGGGTGTGGGAGCGGCTTCCCACCCCCAAGTTCCATCAGAGCCTTCTCAGTCAGGAGCTGGACCTCGCTGTTCATCTGAGCCAAGGCCGCATCGTTCAGGGAGGCCGGGATGGAGAGGGACTCTGACATGGACGCGCCTTGCGGGGTCCACTCCCGGGCGCCTGCATCCTGCAAGTGCTGCTGGGAGATGGCCTGGCAGGACAGAGGCTGCGCTTGGATCTGGGAGGAGGGGTGCGGGAAGATCCCCGCGTGAGGGCTGGAGAGCTCAGCCTGCAGTCTTTCGATCTCCAGCTGCTGGTCGGCTGGAACGACCAGGGGCTGGCCCACATAGGAGTGGTCCCCGGGGAGTTTCATATAGTGCGCGGGGATGACCAAGGCAGGTAATACCTTTCTGTAAACGCTGTCGTTGACCTGGTCAACGGAACTACAGCAGATCAACTGGCCGGGCCGCGGAAAGGACGTGGGTCTCTCCAGGTGGTCCACTGACCGGGACATCATACACTCAGTAGGCCTGCGGTCCAGCAGCTGTTCCTTTTCGGGAGATGAAGGCGTGGGGTACATGTGTTCCTGAATGGTGAGTTTGCTTCCCGTGGAAATATGGTTAGCGGAGGCCTGGCTGTCTCTGTCTTGCTTTTCAAACAGGGGCTGCGAGAGCATGGCATTGTAGCTCCTCCTGTACTCGCTGTTGCCAGGGGACTCACGGCCTTCTCTTTCCACAGGTTTCCTGGACTTTAAGGGGAAAATCTCCACGGACTTACGATACTCTTTTCCCAATGTCCCACTTGGTGTCAGGTTATCGAAGGAGATTTGGCTTTTGTCCTCTTCCTTGTGGGAGAGAAGTTCCTCCCGCGAGCTGAACTCTTGCGAGGTGCTGTAGGAAAGCTTTAGCATGGGGGTGTGCATGTCTGCTTCTCCGTTGGAAGACATCATTTCTAAATGGACCCCGCTCATCAGCTCCTTCGGCCCAGGGGCGTCTGGGCGGCCGTGGCCGGTGACAGAGAGCGGGCCGGGGAATTCTGACTCCCGACGTGAAAACAGCAAGTTGATGTGAGACATGGAAGTTGACTGATCTCTTTTGGAGCTCTCGAGGGCCGTCGGAAGTTGGAGTTTTCTGTGGTGCTGACGAGGTTTCAAGCATTTCCGCCTGCGATCAAAGATAAAAATCCAAACCCAACGGTTAAAGATTCTCATAGTGGTAGAAGGTTCCAAGCAAGATCCTAATTCTCAATTTCCACAGGAAGAAACAAAACAACTACTCAGCAGCCAGAAGCCTTCTCACCCCACACCCGCAGCCTTATTTTGATTCAGAGCAGCGCAATCTGCAGATTTCACCTTCAGGGTTTTAGACGTACAGCCGAGTTATTCGTTCAAAAGCGGTTACCCAAGAGTCGACAGCAAACATTCTCACAAACCGAAAAGACGAGGCATCAAAATAAAGAATTTTAGTTCTGCTTTGTCCTTGAGAATATTGTCTCTTAATCAGTGTTTAGGAATATTCTGAACGAATCATGACAACCGTCAAACTTAAAAAAAAGAAGGAAATAAGAACTCCCCTTGTGAGCAACCTCATAAACAGCATGCCCCCCACATCCTGTTCATTTGTTTGCAACTTTAAGGACAAATGTTTTAGTTCTTAGAGATTTTTTTCATGAGAAAAAAAGGACCTTGATTCAGAAAAAGAAAAAAAAAAGACCTCAATATCAATGCCTGCACAAGAAATTCCAAATTAAAAAAGATATTGCCAAAAAGGTAAAACTTTACCTGCAATAATATAAAAGGAGACACAGCAGAACCAAAAGTATGAAAGCCATCCCTCCTAAAATGGCCAAAAGAAACACCGTGTGATACGTGGTAATGTCCTGTGTGGCAACGGGACCTAGAAGGTCAGAAAAGGGCATTTTAGATTGCAGAAAACCTTGAAGGGATAAGAGGGATAATTAGCTGAGAGCGTATGTTCTTCCTCTTCCTGGCTGGGGTGCGGAGCAGGGGCCAGAGGCAAACACCCTTTGGATGAGGTGCTTACAGATCACTGTAATTTCTCTCAATGACAAGGGATTACCACGACCGTCACCGTCACCGGAGCAGCTGTGGCCGGGAGCAGCGTGAACACCCAAACACTCCATGTGGTGCTAAGGGTCCCTCCTTAGCCCAGAAGAGAGCTGCACTTGCAGCAGGTTCAGCATTCTAAATACATGATCTTTTAATACAAGAAAATGGATGCATGATAACATAATGAGAGAGACTCTTAGACGAGAGATGGCTTGAGTATCTGGGGATTTTATACTGCAGGAGAAAAAAAAAAACCCCACAAGATTTTATTCTCACTTTCCCTGGATAATTATTACTATGTGGAGAGCCCTTTGCTTAAATGAACAGTTAAAAATATGATATAAAATCGGCTATAAAAAAAAAGTCCACAGCTTATTATGGTCTTTCAAGTGTTTCTAAAACGCCTTCCATTTGTAAAAATAAAGTCTTCCTCTACAATGCCTCTTCAAAATTGCTAACCGTATGTGGCCACAGACCTCCTTCAGAATTTACAAAGTATCAGAGATAAATATATTTTCTTTTTAATTTAAAGAAATTAATATAATTTCTTTAATATTTCAATGTTAAGAATCCCAAGGCAAAGTTTATGTTCAATACTAATAAGAATCTATCTTAATGCACTGACAACAGATCGACAGCAACAACAAAAATCTCCCCTATTTATAACATTTGGGGACATACTAGTGTCCAAGCATCGAAGGAAGGGGTGTGGTTTTATGTTATGTCAGATTAGCATGGTTATAATTACTACATACCACAGGTACCCATTTACTTACTGATTCTCGATATCTTAAGGGACAGATTTCTTCAAAAATCTTTGGAAGCAGACCACTTAAGAGCTAGATAAACCCAAAGAGGTTTACTAATTTTTGAAAATTGTGACATGACTTAAGCTGAAAAAGCTAACACCATTCTCTGCCAAACATAATTCACTTCAGTGGGGGAGTGTGGAGTTAATATGCCCCAAAGTTGGAAAAACAATTGACAACTGTATACTCCATTCATCATTCAGAGAAACCATTTTTTTTTTTTTTTTTTTTTACCCAGAGACAACCCCCATGGACCTAGGCAATGCCTTGGCAGGAATCACCAAAAATCCGGGGTACACATAAAAATCATTTCCAAATAATTCAAGTTCTGTCCTTTAAGTACTTAAAATGTTATTATCTTAACTTCTGCCAATGGAACACTCTATAAAATTTACAGCTGTACTCAATTTCTTTCTTAACTGGAGAATGAAAGAAAAAACCCTAACTATTTTCTTGTTGGTTTTGGGCTCATGAAGGCACAGCATCTTTGTAATTTGTTTTAATAAAGGGGATGGCTGTAAGGTTACTAATATATGTGTCTGTACATTAAATGCCATCAGGGCTCTGTCATATATGCTCTTTATAAATTTTTGTCTCTTCCTTCACTGCTCGGAAGGGTTGGCAGACCTATACCAAGCCGTTCTTTCTCCCCTCTTTACAAAGCATCTATTAATCTGTGGCATGATGGGCAAACTGAGAATCACAGTTGTCTGAAAGATATCTAAATTTTTTGTAATGTTTATTAATTTTTGACAGAGACAGAATGCGAGAGGGGGAGGGACAGAGAGAGAGGGAGACACAGAATCCGAAGCAGGCTCCAGGCTCTGAGCTGTCAGCACAGAACCTGACGTGGGGCTTGAGCCCACGAACCGTGAGATCATGACCTGAGCCAAGTCGGTGCTCAACCGACTGAGCCACCCATGTGCCCCCGAAATATATCTAAAATGAAAGTTAACTGTAATGTATGGGCTTTATGGCCTCTACTTGGGTACTTCAGGAATTTCTTTTCTTTCCTTCTTTACTCTTACTCATATTCTAGATATTTGTGATTTGGAGCCCGGGGCATTTTTGTACCTGGTTCGTGCCTATATTACTACAAGAACGCTATCACAAAGGGAAACACAGAATTCCCTTTGTGAAATGGGAAATCAACATTTTCTCAGTCTGGGGCCAATTTCTCAGCACCTCCATCAAATCCGCTACTATGGGAATGTGAGTGTCATTCCAGTGACAATTCCACTGCTAAAATATCTTGGACTCCCATTTTGGAACTGCCTTCATGATGAGAGACAGCTTTTAATCATAGCATATTTCTGACCTGGCTCAATTACCTACTTTACTCACCAGACTAGGATGTGCATGACTTTTAGAAGCGTCTAACAAGAATCAAAGGGACCCTTGGAGCATAAAGATTTGCCACCAATGAAAACGTTTCACTAATGAAGGCAGTCCCAGTGATACAGATTCTAAAGGCATTTTGAGTGACAGAAGCCATGACTGGAAAGAATTCTCTGAAGACGACTATTTTAAGAAACAATTCTAGAATGTTCCTTGGGATAAATTAGGGCATATAGGTTAAAACTTTTTTTTAAGTCATGCTTTAAAAAGTGTGAGTTAATTCACGTATCCTAAGTAGAGATGATTATTGTTTTAGACACAAAGCAAACTGGTTTGTTTCTGAACCTTCAGGAAAGGCCAAAACAAGCTTTTTGCCCCAAGAAAGCTCCAGTGGTGACTGTGTTAGCCTGTCTACGGAGTGCCCTTCCCCACATGTTCTCTTACAACAGGCCACAGCTGTTTCAGGAATTAGGGAGGAGATCTAAACCGCCCCCATGGGCTTTAGATTAGGAATTCCCTATGGCAGCTGTCTGAGCAAAACAGATACAAGACAGGAGTATGTTCTGTGCATTATTGTTATCCTAGACGGGAGAGTCGCAACCAGAACTCCCCCACCCCCACACAATACCTTAGTTTCATCATTTGATTTTCAGACTTTTAACCATTTTTTTTTTTTAAGTAATCTCTACACCCAACGTGGGGCTCGAACTCATGGCCCTCAGATCAAGAGTCACATGCTCTACCCATTGAGCTGGCCAGGTGCCCCTTTCTACCATTTTTGAGTAAGATGAGGTCTCGCTGCTGAAGTAATTTTCCAAAGCATACTTAGCCTGAACCCTCAAAGAACTCAACGCCCATCATCGCAGGCGCTGGCTTCGTGTTACCTGGGTTGGGAGGAGACATGGCTGCCACCCAGTACCCCAGCTGAGGGGCAATGTACGTCCACGTCCGCTGGCTACCTTCCTGGTGCACGAGGCCCAGACCACTCTTCAGCCACGTTCCTGTGGGGTGCAGAAAAAACTTGAGCTGGACACACACTACACCCCTATTTAGGGCTTACACATATTGTACCTTAAATGTCATCTTTGTAACACAGTAGGTAGCCAAGACGGTCCAGATGTCATCTAGGGACTGCATACACCTTTCCATAGATTCTTTTCAACTTCTTTCAGGGGTGAGGAAAACTTTGATTTTTTTCTTGCTTTTCTGATTAATTTATTTTCAACCACTTTCTCAAACATCCCTGCTTCCAAACTCAGATAATTCTACCCAAAAGCTTTGGAGTTTAGAAGTAGAAGAAAGGTAGCAAGGTAAGCGTTGGGAGGAGTGGAAAGAAGGCGGTGGGGAGAAATCCAGAACCGTTTCTACTCTTCTTTCTCAAGCCAATAAGCAAATTTCCTATCCCAGATTATACACTTGGTTGCATCAGAATTACTTAGGAAAGTTTAAAAAAATATATAGACTTCTTGGTCTTATTTTTGCAAACTCTAGCTTAGTAAACCTGGCTTAGGTGAGTATTTTAAAAAGTTTCCAGTTGCTTCTGATGCTGGGAAACACCCGATACGTCCAGGTCTGAACTGTCTTTCAGTTATTAATTGGTAGTTAACGTTAATGAGCACCTCTTACGTACAGGCTGGTCACAGCAGATGCGTCTTATACACATTATAATTCTCACAGCACCGCCACAGAGTAGGACTCGTTTTCTTTTTGGACAAGGACTGGGGAGGTACGGAACTCTTCTAAGGGCCCTCAGGGGTAGAGAGCAGAGCAGGAGCAGACCTACGCCTGTCTCTCTGTCCTCAGGGCAGGATCTGATCTACCCTGTTGCATTCTTCTATAAACTGTCCCAACAGTTCGTGACGTTTCACTTAAGTTTTCCAGACACAGACCTGTTGCCTGGCCCACTCTCCGAGCGCCTTGCTTTGAGGCCCGTGATGGCGGCTGGCAGCAGAAGACAAATGGAGAGTGCTGGCCAGGTCCCCCAGCAGGACAGGCACCCGCCCAGCCCACCAGTGTAGACACCTCAGTCAAATTGCTTCGCAGGGCTCCTCCTGCCTCGAGGCCCACGCACTCCGCCGCTCGGCCTGCTCCCATAATCCCCACTACCTGAAATGGCCTTGTGTGTAACTGTGTCCACTCGAGGCCTAAATGCACCAACCGTGCACCAACCATTCTCCCCTCTGGTCCCCAAACCCTTGCCCTTCCCGTGCACACACGTCACTGAGGTGGCAACAGTGGATTGTTCTCCGTTGAAGAAGGAAACAATATTTGGCGGTGCTTCTACGGCCTACCAGTTGCCATAGCAACACTGAAATGCAGTGGGTGGAAAGGAGCCGGTGGCAAAGCCTCCAATCTTGCTCACCTCCTCCACTGCTCAGACGTCAAACAAAGGAGGAAGAAGGGAGAGGCTAGGCGTCAGAAGGCGCCTTGCACTGTCTGACCTTCCCAAGCGACAGGCTGCATCACGGCTGGAGATGATTTCCATTCCCATTAGACAAGAGGAATACAAATGGGAAAGTTTCTAAAGTGAGTGTGAGGATAAGGATGCCCAGTTCTGATTCATTTGCTGAAGAACACCCAGCCCAGAGATGATTTAGTTACTTAGAGCATCGCTCCGTTCTACAGAGCGTTACAAACAAAACCAAAGGCCCAAAATGGTGTCACTTAGGGGAAGGCCCCCAGTCGGTACACCGAGACTGGATACCCAAACTAACTGCAGTTTCAATTGCACAGCACGTAACCTTTAACCAGACAAAATGAATTTCCTGGTCAGTACCAGGGAATTTACTAATTGACCCCTTCTGTTCCCCTTCGGAGGGCAACCTTGCCCAAACAATGCATTCCTTGCTAGTAAAATCCATTCTTCTTTTATTTATGCCCTTCTCCCTGCTTTTAAAAAAGTTTTTTTTAATGTTTATTATTTTTGAGAGAGAGAGAGAGAGAGACAGAGCATGAGTGGGGTAGGGGCAGAGAGAAAGGGAGACACAGAAACAGAAGCAGGCTCAGCTGTCAGCACAGAGCCTGACGTGGGGCTTGAACCCACAGACTGTGAGATCATGATCTGAGCTGAAGTCGGAGGCTTCACCGACTGAGCCGCCCAGGCGCCCCCGCCCCTCTCCCTGCTTTTAAAAACCTTTCTCTTGTTTAGCTCAGCAGACCTCCCCTCTACTTGCTAGATGGGATGCTGCCTGATTCATGAATCATTTAATAAAGTCAATTAGGTATTCAAATTTACTCTGCTGAATTTTGTTTTTTAACAAGAGCTGCTGAGGAAATGGAAAACATAGGACATTTGACACATTCAGCTAAAGACTTTCCCTATTTGGTAAGAAAGCTTCTCTGAAGGTAGAGCCGGCTGTTGGTGACCAGTTCCGGTTTTCCGCTTGGGGATCCCACGCTGCTGGGCCCCTGCCCTGACTTCCACACCCCACCCCACTCCCCTGGCTGTCCCCACAACACGGCCCCGCCAGGATCTCCACCTCAGCCAGGAGGTGGCGTGCACTCTTTGGTCTGCGGTTTTCCCCAGGTGGGGTTCTTGAGTCACTGCTGCTCTTCAGATGGAGTGGATACCACGTCAGGCTGAAGGGACCCACGTGGAAGGACCTGAAGCTCACGGGTCCTGATTGCTGCTCCTTCAAACCGCCTAACTCGACTGCGAAGTTGCTTCTGCCTTCTCCAACACAAGCACATCAACTGCAGAAACGCTTCTAAAATCCCTTCGAGCTATACCCCACCCCCGGTCCAGCCCGGAGGGCCCCGGCCCGGCAGCGGTGGTGGTGACGATGGCCACAGCCAGCAAGGCCGGTGACTGGAGAACATGCTTTGGGAGCACAGGGAGGGTAGAGAAGGCTTCTGGATGAGTCAAGTTTCGAAGAATTGGCAGCTGGGGGTAGGGGTGAGGAGGGCAGCAGGAGGAGGAGGAGGAGGAAACAGTGTGCAGGAAGGCACACAGGGTAGTGGGCTTGGAAGATGCTTTGGATGGGGTGCAGGTGGGGGTTGGGTTGGCGGGGCATAAGGGATGGGCTGGAAAGGAGTTTGCTGTCTGCCCGGGAAGGGCTGGGAAGGGCTTCTAGGGCCATTAAAAATGGTACAGAGGTTTCTCAAAAAGTTAACAATAGAACTACTCTAAGATCCAGTAGTTGCACTACTGGGATATTTACTCCCCAAACAGAAAAACATTATTTCAAATGATACACACACCCCTGTTTATTGCAGCATTATTTACAACAGGCAAGGTGTGGAAGCAGCCCAACTGTCCATCAACAGATGAATGGATAAAGAGGAAGTGATACATACACAATGGAATATTACTCAGCCATAAAAAAGACTGAAATCTTGCCATTTGCAACAACGTGGATGGAGCCAGACAGTATCATGCTAAGTGAAATAAGGCAGTCCGAAAAAGACAAATATCATATGATTTTACTCACATGTGGAATTGAAGAACCAAAACAAATGAACAAAGGAAAAAAGAGAGGAAGAGACAAACCATGAAACAGATTCTTTTTTTCTTCCTCATTTTATTTTAGAGAGAGAGAGCGAGAGAGCGCATGAACAGGGGAGAGGGACAGAGGGGGAGAGAGAGAGAGACTCTTAAGAGCCTCCACACGGAGTGCAGAGCCAGACACAGGGCTCGATCTCATGACGCTGGGATCATGACCTGAGCAAAATCAAGAATCAGACGCTCAACTGAGCCACCCAGGCGCCCCAAGAAACAGACTCTTACATAGAGAATAAACTGCTGGTTACCAGAGGGGAGGTGGGTCGGGGGATGGGTTAAATAGGTAATGGGGATTAAGGAGTGCACTTGTCATGATGGGCACTGGGTGACGTATGGAAGTGCTGAATCGCCATATCGTACACCAGAAACGAATGTGACACTGTGTGTTAACTAACTGGAATTAACATAAAGAACTTAATAAAAAAGAAGAAAGAAATGGAGGCCACTGGGCCCTGTAAATGGAGGCACGGTGTGGTCAGAACTCTCCTCCCCACCCGCCCCTCCCCCATCCCCGCAGCCCCTGAGCTCCTCAAACACCAGCACGCAGTATGCACTTCACCCAAGTCCGTGGCTTTGCTGGCAACTGCGGCTCTAATCTCACAAGGTCTTTCTTCCTTTCAACACTTATTTGTATTTGAGAGGAGGGGGAGGGGCGGTGAGAGGAAGACAGAGGATCCAAGCAGACTCCTCCCTGTAAGCACGGAGCCCGAGGCGGGGCTCGAACTCATGAACCGTGAGATCATGAGCCGAAATCAAGAGTCGGACGCTTAACTGACTGAGCCACCCAGGCGCCCCTCACACGGTTTTTCTCTCTTCCAGAAATCTACCCATCTTTCAAGATTCAAGTCACGTCATGTGCTTATCCCGAGTCCCTCCGGAACTCAAGGATCTTCCTTGTCCTCGTCCTCCTGGGACACGTGTCACTGCATCTCTTTTCCAAATCACACGTTGCCTCAGTCACCAACATCTGGCCTCCTCTGTCAGACCGTAGCCTCCGTGAGTTTGGGCCTGGGTCCTATATTCCTTTTGTCTTCTCAGCACCAAGAAATCTCCTTGGCGTACCAGCTGAATAGTACTCGAGAACGAGTGAAAAACCCAGCAGGCAACCCAAAAAGTCGTGTCGGATGACCTTCTGTGAAAAGCTGGGTGTGGTCATCAGGAAAGAGATCCTTACAGAAGTGTGCTGAAATTCAAACGTAAGGGAACAAAGCCAGCAGGGAAAGAGGCATTTATTTTGGCCTACGTTGCCTGCAAAACGTACACGTCTTCAGTGACTAAAGGGTGACACTATCTCAGGACTCAACAATCATGCTGTTATTGGCAAAAGCCATTTCCAAGCTTTCTGTGTTTGGTGGGAGGAAGTCAGCGGTGGGGAATAGAATTACCGAGCTGTGCACTGGAGCATATGCTTCTCGTTAGGGTGAGATCCTGGTGCCGCGGAATGAGGGTGACCTCCCCACCTGAGAAGCCAACACACATGGGAAGAGATTCTTGTGCTCG